TCCCCCATCTTACAGAAACTGGAGAGCTGAAGGGTTAACGGTGACTGTCTCAACAGCAAGGTCTGATTGAATAGCCATAACCCTAGACTGCTTGTCCTTCCTTTCCTGACCTAGTCTGTGCCCTCCTTGAAGTTTTAGAGGTAGTAAGTGAAAGCAGGAAAAAGTACTGTTCTGTGCACTTGTGAAAACATTCAGCTAAAGAGCTTTCTTGAAAAGCATGATTTGCAGGAAAGATCTGAAGGAGAGAACAGGCTGGGTGGTTTATTTTGAACTAATGCAGTGGCATGGGGGAGGGGAGTGCTGAGTGAATGAACTCAAGGGAAATATGAGAGAAAGCCATTGACATAGGAGACTGAGACCATCCGTTCTAAACATTAGTTACAAAATTTTTTGATCATATTAAAAGGAGCCTCAAGGATTAATAAATAAAATAAGTGACTTTCTGTGGGGGGGAACTTTCCTTGTTTGATATTCAATACGCTTCAATGCACTATGCTGGGTAATTTCTATAGAGCATCTTGTTGAAGTCTGCCTGTGATCACAAAAAGCAGGGTTATTCCTTCCACTGTAGTGCATGGGAACACAAGCCCTACTTTAGAAAAACTTCCCCAAAAGGGAACCAGAATTTGAAAAGGCAGAAGGTCTGCTCATATTTTACTTAGCTGTTTAAGTATAGCAGGGACAATACAGATATCTTATCACCCTACGTGGGATACCTCCAAACATGAGGAGGTGTGGGGTTAACAAACAACACTGACCATAGACAAATAAAACTGGAAAGCCTCCTGTTCAAACAAGACTCGTGGCTCACCTCCCCCGGCAAGCTTGGCTTTCACACCATAGAGATTATCACAATGCCGACGTTTTCTAAATTTGATTTGGAATCTGAATGCTAATCCTGCATCATGCCCACAGCTGCACGGAATGGGGAACTGTGGAGGACACAGCCATAAACCAAATGGATTGCCGGCTGTTTCTGCCGACATAGGAAAGCTCCAAGTGCTCCCAGATCATGGGTAACAGAGAGCAAATTGAAAACAAGATGGCGGTGTCAGCATTTACTGAATTGTAATTTTTGCCAGAGAAATTTAGTTTGTTTAAATGCTTCGTATCTTAAAGTCTGCAGGGCGACACCAGGCTTTTCTTCTCGAGGAAGCTGTCGTCCTCATTTCTGCTCCTTCAAAGCTGGTCAATCACTGAGCTCCTTTGAGTGATGGCAAAGTCAGAATTATGACCGCCTGATTTTACCCTTCACTGCACTTGTCAAAGAAATTAAATTAAAGATCATGCTTATGAATATAATGCATGAACTGCTGCATGGCATTCTGAGCGATAGAATGCCCCTTCCACCCAGCCACTCAGCAAACAGCATGTCACACAATATTCTAATAAACAGAGGAGAGGATGGAACGGAGAGAAAATTCTGCCTCTCAGGAAAGATGAGGTACATGTTCATGGAATCAGAAAAAAATAAAGCTCAGTAAAAGTTAATAAATCTTATGCTTACAGAAATTCAAACTAATATCATACTTTCTTTTTTCCAAAAATGTTTCCACCAAGAATTTTATCTGACTAAAGAGATTATTTACATTTTAATGTGCACTATAGTGCAGTTTGAGTTAGGGTCAAAAGAGCGAGGGTTCCTGAAGAGCAAGTATTCCATGCACACTTGCAGATGGATTTTTCTGTAGAGGCAACTGCTGAGCAGGAGTCATAATAATAGGGCATTTGGCAAAAATATGACAGAAAAGTGACATCGGCCTAGTAATTTTTACAGAGAAAAATATGCTTTTATTTTATAAATTTGTGTATATAATGCAAATAGGCTCCAATATTACATATAATCTTTTATGTTTTTTAAAAAGTCTTCCCCTCTGCCAAAATAATTTCTTGGGTAAATTACACACACACATACACATACACACACACACACACACACACACACACACACACACCTATTTCTCCATGTGTACCAGAAAATATGTGTGTGTATATTTATAGATAAGCCTGCGTTTATATTTTTATTAGTATGCCTGTGCTATTTTATCTAGCATTCATCTTTCTATTAATGTTTTTATATGACTCCTGACTACATAACTGAACTGACATTGTAGCAAAGATTCCTCTTAGACATCATCACAGAAGGAATTTGAATTTAGTTATATGTAAGTCCGTGGAGGCATCTTCTAATCAGATGGTCCACACTGGAGAATGGCGTTGCTAGAAGCGCTAGCACACATCTGAATGGCCTGGAGGGTGGCAAACAACACGGTTACTCGCCCCAGCTCGGGTCTCTGAACACGCTAATTTGGGATGCTGCCCTAGGATGTACGTGTCAAAAATATCCCCTGGTGATGCGGCGTGCAGATTAAAGTCCACTCTGAGAACCACTAGAGTCTCAGTGATGTAAGGCATAGAGAGGCCATGCTTGGTCATGAGTACAGTAGAAAATTTTCTCCTGCCAGTTTTAACATTTTATGGAGTCAACACAATTGCTTGTGTATAAACATTAGCAAATAAAATGGTAAGTCGGATAGGTATTTAAGGTCTTCCTAAACTGGTATCTTCAGAAATTTCAAAGAGCCAGATGTATGTATAAAGGAGCTCATAAGCCGACTACAAAAGTCCCTACAAGTGAAAATCCAAGAAAATGCCAAGAAGAACCTGAAAACAAAAATTAACATAAGCTTAACCTTGCAGAAGCAAAGTTCGCAGAAGCAGAAATGCGCAATGAAAACAGAAATAAAAGCAGACATGCGCAGTGAAACCAGACACAGGTAACAAGTTGTAAGTTAAGTGACTGTTGAACTAAAGAATGACGAAATGTATTTGCAAATAAAACTCTTTAAAAAGAAAAAACAGCAGGGGGCTACTGAAGTGAAAAATTAAGTGAACTAAACATCACGTTGAGTAGTATTGGAAAGAAAATTAGAAAACTTAATAACAGACTTGAAAAAATAACCAGAAGGCTTCTGAAAAAGAGACAAGAAAAAGGGAGTGTGTGTTTGTGTGTGCATGTGTATGAATGGATATGTGTGTGTGTGTGTGTGTGTGTGTGTGTATGAATGTGTGTGTGTGTGTGTTTATGGGGGGCACAACATGGTTAAAATTCAGAAAGTAATGAGGAATAATAGACAGCAGTAATAGGATATTATTTTGGTATTCATTTGGTGAGGAAAGGAGTGTGGAGTTTTAAAACAAGCAAAAGACGCTGACCCCCCATCCCGAGAAAGTCAGCAAATGTCAAAGGAATAAAAAGAATTGTGCACCTAACCACATCCTATTGAAACCAGGGAGCACAAAGGCACAGAGTACCTTGTGAAAGCGCTCAGAGGGAAAGACGGTGAAGGAAAACAACAGCTAAGTGGGAAATCACTTCTCAACCATCAGAGAACAGGTACAATTTGAGGGAACTAGCTTTGAAATGTCATAGCGTAGCTGCCAGGTTCTACGTTTTATTTAGAAAAAAAGAAGTGAAAACAAAATCAAATTAACTACATTTCCCAGACAATAAAGTCAGAGAGAATCTACATGTGTAATTTTCCAAGATCACCTATTTGGAGGGGGTGAAATTGTACCACTGAGTCATACCAGGATTAGAGGATGATGTTTCCCCAACAAAGCAATTTAAGGAGGAAGTAAAAGTCGTTTTAAAGAGTGGCAAGGAGCAGCGTGGAAGAATAAGTCACAGCATGTCTACATTTGTATTGACAATAGACCCCAGCCCTGGAAAACCACCTTCAATGGAAACAATGCATTGGTTGGCAACCATCTTGTAAGGGGTAGCCTCTCCAGGGAAAAACAACTGGGGTTTTGCTCCTAAGTCTTCACAAGTTTGACCTTCAGAGATCCCGTAGAAAAAGGTGCAACAATCACACCAACAAGGGTGCACACACTAGTTTCCTCCTCAGATACTAGCAAGGCTTGCCATCTGATGCTGGGCAGAGCCTTCAACCTTCACTATGGTTCTACGAGTTCTGCAAATTGTTCTAACCATCTAAACACATTTCAGTGAGTGAGGACAGTGCTTAGCCTCATTCGTTCCTAACTGAGATAGTCATAAGAGTGACAGTCATCACTAACAGAATGCCAGACCTCTGCTAACCAGCTAACCACTCCTTCTTCTTCTTCTTTTTAATTTTATTATATATATAGTATGACAGCAATGATACTACCAGACTATTTTCTCACGAAGCACAAAGTGGAACTCCAGGTAAGTAAGCAGGAGATGTATGTATTCTGCAATCCGGAAGCTACACACCAAAAACGCACCCACATTCGCCTTTCAAAAACAGTTTGCATGATTGTAGGCTGTCCTCAGAGACAGCTTCATTCCTTCTGAAGCCTGAGCCCAACAGGACTTCCCCACTGACCACTAAAAAAATAGAAGAGAGATGTTTGCAGCATCATTGCTGAGGTTTGCTTCTGGGAACCCTGAAAACATGTTCATGTGAAAAACAAATGGTACCAATAAGACAATAGCCAGAAAACTGTTTGTCATGTATAAGCCTTGTCCCTCAGTTCCTCATGGTCTGAAGACTTCTTGGTTTTAGTACAACTCACATAATTTAACCTTATAGAAATGAAACTATGCCATGTAAAGAACATGACTTTTTAAAATATATTTTTTCTTTAGTAACAACAAATCTGATTTCTCATATTCACAAAAGTTATTGAATGTATAAGGAAAGCAAAATAGGATTGTTCTGTGGCATTTTTTTAACCCTTAAGAATATGTGTCACCAGGCAGTGGTGGCACATGCCCTTAATCCCAGCACTAGGGACACAGAGACAGGCAGATCTCACTGAGTTTGAGGCCAGCCTGGTTGACAAGAGCTAGTTCCAGGAAAGGCTCCAAAGCTACAGAGGAACTCTGCCTTGAAGCAACAGAACAAAAACAAAACAAAAAGAAATCTAAATGCGAAAAGTATACACATACTTTACAAAGGAAATGAAAGTTTGTCTCCATGGCATAAGTTTTGAGAGGAAGCAGGACTTACCTTCACTGGAGTCCTTTGAACTTTCTGGTTTCTTTGCTTTGCTCTTCTTGTGAGGTGGGGAAAGGCCTTTAGGCTCAAGCTCTTCTGGAAGTACAAATTTTATATTCTTATTTAAATATTTGCCAGTAATGTCCAGAACGTATTAAAGTTTAATATATTTTTCTTCTTCTTAGTAACCTCACCCACCACACACACACACTTACTGAGCCTTAACATTGCAGCTGAACTAAATCTTGGCAAGGAACTCGTATTCTCCATCCTACTACATAGACTTAAACTTAAGCTCCAATATTTTTCTGTAGACATCATCAATGATTCATACAAATGCCAAATCACACAAAAGTGCTATCTTAAAAACTGGGTAATTCTCCATATGAGCAGTCCAAAGAACTCTGCTCTAAATTTCAAGGCTTAGCAGAGACCATTATGTCTTTCATCTTAGTCCTCAAAGGTCGGCGAAATGAAATACAATGTCACATCACTTTTAAGGTGACTGGTTCTGCTTCTTCTGAATGGGCTTCTTTTGTAATCTAGAATCTAAGGAGAACTTTCCTATGTCCCCAACTAATCTGTTGTTTTTAACAATTTTTTCAACATTTTCTTAAGCCTACCCACCACAGGGACTAGGAAAGACTGAAGGGCATCTGGAGAAATAGCTCTCAATCCACTCTGTCTGATTAGAACGTTTGCTGGCCTTGAGTTACAGTTTCTACTGAATGTATCTGCTGAGCTCAGTGTCGGTGTCTTCTGCCTTTGTTGTCTCACATTTTTGGCTTGGGGTTGGATGTCTGGATGTCTTCTGCTTGCTTTTCCATTCCATTCTCGACCAGTTAGCAACTCTTCCTGCAACCTAAGACCAAATGCTTTCACTTATGCCAATAAACTTGTCGATATTCTATCTTCCTGCTAGTTTCCGTCAATGGGGAAACTTTATGGGATCCTGGTATTCTTTGTGGGCTGACTCGTCCCTAAACTAAGGTCAGAATTACTATCAGCTGGCCTTCTTCACAGGTTGCCGGTCCCAAAGTCACCCTCATTACTACCCCATGCAAGGCTGGGACTTATATGTCCTTCTTTCTCAGTCTGAATGGTTTCCCTTCACTCAACCCACATCAGGAATCTAAAATCTAAAACTAATCAGAACTACCCTTCATGTGTACAAACCTCTCTGTGCTACTCCACGTCTAGAAGAATGGTGTTGCATACAATCTACCAACCATTTCAAACTAAAACCTAGGTATCGCCATTCAAACTTACTCTCACCTGTGTTCCCAAGCCAGCTGATCATCCCATCTTTGCTCTAACAAACCCTAGACTCATCTATTATGAATGGTCCTGGCACCCGCATCAGCATCACTTCTTGCTATTTCTCAGTTCCTGTAGCTAGCCTTCTAATCTTCCCTTCTAAGGACCGTGCTTCCACTGCTGCACACCGTGATCTTTGAAAACATCAATCAGATCTGGGTGCTCACCCACTTCCACCGCAGAGCACAATATGCCATTTGGCTTTGTTGATATCTGTAGTTTCTCCGCCCATTTGCCCTTCAAGTTTTTCTTCAATTCCTTCTTCGCTTTTATTTTCTATGTGTATATGTTTTGTATGCATGTATGTTTATGCACCACATGGGTAAAGTGTCCACAGAGACCAGATGAGAGTGTAGGAACTTCTGGAACTTCAGATACAGGTAGCCATGAGCTACCATATGGGTGCTGGGAATAGAATCTGGGTCCCCTGGAAGATGATGCAGTGCTCATAACTGCTGAGCCATCTCTCTAATCCACCTTCTTACTTTATTTTTTTTTTGAACCACAGACTGATTTTTGCCTTAGGACTTTGCTACTGTCTCCCACTCCAGTGCCTCTAGTACATTTCTGCCTAGTTTTGGGGTTTTCTTTTTACTCTTTTTATTTTTCCAGACTAAATTTACCCACTGCCACACACACACACACACACACACACACACACACACACACACACACACACACACAGTGTTATCTGGAATTATCTTGCTCCCTCATTTGTGTCTTTATTGTACACATACAACTAACTTAATGTTTTACAAGAAAAGTGTGTTTCTTTTTTTCACATCCCTCCTGTATCCTTGGTGCTGAGAAGTACAGTGAGAATCATTTCAGAGTCTGTTTTATTTTTGCTTCACTGGTCCTTTCTTTAAGTCCAAGATATAACAGCTCTATGCCTAACTCATTCGCCTAGCAGCTGTTGCCTCATGCCAGAATTCTAAAATCACACTACGGGACTGTGGTTAACTCATTTCTCCCCTTTCCTCTTTCGTCTATTAAGAAAGAAACAGAACAACAATAAAAAACGTCCACGTTTGATAGATGTGCTATTAAAAATTTTGGCATCACAGACTACAAAGGTGCGGGGCATAAGGGCTAAGTTTTATGTGGTCACAAGTCAGTCATAGCTAAGGTTATTACCAAGGCCAGGGTGAGAAACATCACCAATGACTACCTTAGCAGCTTGCCGACTTCTGTCACAGATATGAGATGCATGGTGACCCTTTAGAATAGTTCAGCAAAACCAGAAGTGAGGTTTTTGGAACAGCTTATTGCATGCAAATATCAGGTCCACCGAGAGTCACAGACCAGGCAAAGAGGCATTGTGATCTCACTATCAGATCTAGTCCCATTGTACCCTGAAGAGTGCTGTCCTGGGGTTAGGCAAAAGCCTCCAGAGATGAAAATACAACTTCAAGATATGGTTTCTTACACCTGGAGGCTTTGTTGATTGCATGCCAAGTTTGTGATTTCCTGCCTTAACAGAAATTCTTAGGGTCTAGGTGAAGTTTTCAAAGATGTCTGTTTGCCTACATTTATGTTCAATGGGCATGGAAGCTTGTTGCATAGAAAGGCATGTGTGAAATTCATGAGCCTTTGATTGTTTCCTGATGCCCATGGGGTGTTCAAATAAAAGTCACTAATAAACATGACTGATGGAGGAAGGTCATTGGTTAAATAAAAAGAAACTGCTTGGCCCTCTTTGGTTAGAAGATAGGTGGGAGGAGTAAACAGAACAGAACGCTGGGAAGAAGAGGAAGTGAGCTCAGACTCCACAGCTCTCCTCTCGGGAGCAGACGCCTCAGAGAGACGCCATGCTCCCAGCTCCCAGGCAGACGCACGAGATGAAGCTCTGACCCAGGATGGACATAGGCTAGAATCTTCCCGGTAAGCGCACCTAGGGGTGCTACACAGATGATTAGAAATGGGCTAAAATAATATGTGAGAATTAGCCTAAAAGAGGCTAGATAGAAATGGGCCAAGCAGTGTTTAAATGAATACAGTTTGTGTGTTGTTATTTCGGGCATAAGCTAGCCAGGCAGCCAGGGTGCTGGGGACACAGCCCCGCCGCCCATATTACTACACATGACCTCTGTGCAAAGGTTCCTACCTGAGGCTCAGCACTCCCTCTTGGTCTAAAGGGAGCTGAAGGAGAAGCTGATTTTGTTCCTCTTTGCAAACAATGTCCTGAGCTTTCTTGATGATTTTAGATTGCCTGTTTCTGACAAAGTCATGAATCTGGAGTTTGACTATGAGACTGAAACCTCTTTTGTCCTCTGCTCTAGGTGAGCAGCACTGTGATGGTTGATATAGGTGGAGCCCTGCTGCCTCAGATTGGTCCAAGTCAAGAGTGTGTGGCCTTTGAGATGGAACGACATGGGAAACATTTGGCATGCCTGAATAAGGACGATTAAAGTTCTACAGGGGGAGAATGCCACCTTGAAGACATAGCAAATCCATTTGAGATGCTTCTGCCTCCATTTGCTCTAGGGGTCTGGAGACCATAGCAAAAAGTTAAATTGCATAAATTCTGGTGTAAGACAAACTTGGATTCAAATTTGGGCTCTACTTTTTAGGTAAGAATTAATTGAAGCCTCCTTAATCAAAGTCTTTCTTTGTAGGTTGTTGTATGAAATAAACTCATGCACATCCAGTGATTTGCACAAGAGAAGGCCCAGTTGAAGTCTGGTGTGCTCAGAGGTATGCCAAGCCTGACCTGAGCCAGGTCACACCATCTCACTCCAGCTCTCTTATTGGGAGCTTTGAAAAGTGTGTGGCTGATATTATCATACCTATGAGATCATCATGAGATTCCCATAGCAACTCAAATCACCCACAGAGCCAACTGAGAAGCATGGCATTGCTTTTAGATATTGAAGTTGTTATTCACTGCCACTCAATAGCATCTGTTTATCAGGTTGAGTCTCTCGAGTAGCCCTTCATTAGGTCAACTGTATTCTTAACCATTGCTGTAGGTTTCCAACTCCTGTGAAGGGCGACAATGTATGGCAGAGGAAAAGCAAAAATGAATGGTCTTAGGAGAGAGCTGGACTCTTCTTGCAGACCAACATACTCCATCGTGACATTATAACGAAACCAGGCAGCACACCAACGTCTGGCAGGGCCAGCTGGAATGCTATGGACCATCCGGCACACAAGGCTCCTACGGTTTCAGCACTCAAACATTAGGAGATGCAAATGAGCTCCCCACACCTATTCTGTCTTGGCATCACGGATCATTGAGTGTGACTCGACCAGATGTTGAAGGCAGAACTCCCTGGATATCTGATGGGACTGGAATCGGAAATAATGAGACTACTCCAGACTGCAAATGCTGATTCTAGCTTGTGGAGACGTCCTTCCTTTCAACAATTTCTTTAAAATGAATCAATGGTTTGGGTAGTTAGCTAGCTCTGTTTAAGAAGTCAAGTCCCTTTGCCTAGAAATGTGTAGCTGTGGCACTGAGGCCAATGGTTCATTGAACATTAACCTGGCTGAAAGGGCAGAACCCCTATGGCTGAAGAATCCTCCAAGGACACTTTATGCAAGGCAATGCACGAGAATAACTAAGAATAGCACCGAACTCATTCAAGTTAATCTAGGACAGATTTTTAAAAATAAGACATTTTACATGGACACAAGAATTGAAGTTTTTATAGAAATTTTATCTTGGGCTTTCTGTTTCATAAAATTCAAGTAGAGTTCTTGTCTTAGGTTGGATTCTCCCAGGTATAGATACTGGACAATGTTTTGAGTATAAGTTGCTAATTTGAGAATTAATCTCAGAAAGTATCAGAGAAGGACTAATGAAATAAGACAGGAGAAGGAAGATAGATACTTCTACATATATTCATGAACAATTCCCACCATGGGCATCATAGGCTAAACTCTATTAGGGACTTCTTGTTAAGGATATAGAATCATGATGTTTAATATTCCAGCTATATAAACATTTTCAGTGAGAACTTAAAATGTGCTTACTTAATCTGACCTGAGATGTGGACATGAGATACACATGGATGTCATAGGTTCAGAATTAAAACTTAGACATGACATCTAACCAAATTTCTATATTGATTATAGGTTGAACTGATAATGTTTTTGGATAATTGTGTTATATAAAATGTTGCTAAAGTTAATTTCATTTATTTATTTTTTAATATGAGTGCCAGAAAATATAAAATTACGTCTGAAGCTCATATATGTCTATTGGTTAAACTGCAATATACCCTAGAACGTGTCTCAGGTGTGTGTGTGTGTGTGTGTGTGTGTGTGTCTGTTTGCTGAGGTTTGAATCAATGTTCTTGTACAATGACACTACGGAGCTATACCACCTTCACAGGAATCCTGGGAAGCTAACCCTTATTCATCATTGGTTTGAAGGGTACTTTATCCATCATTGGCTGGAGAGCTACTCCAGAGAAACAAACTCACTAGTACATTGAGTTTTCCTGCATGAATAGAGAAAGCCACTAAGCTATCATTAGAAAGTTTCCATTCAAAGCCAAGCATGAGTGCTGAGGGAACAGAGGCATGGCATCAGCAGCTGCTGCAGTCCCTCCTCTGCTACCTCTCTCTGTTCCTGCTTCTAACTTTCACATTCTTTATCCACCTCTCATTTTAGCTGAGTTCATTGCCGCTGTAGAGAAGGGAACCTTACAAATCAGGCGTGTCTAGACTGGGGAAGAGAAGAGAAGCTCTGTGGTCCAATGGACTTTTACGAAGAACGGGAGCAGATGCTATTTCTCTAGGCAGTGAATGGATCGCCTCCAGAAGGACAGAATTAAACTAATGCAGAGAATGTTAATTTTAATGAAGCCTCAGTTAATGAGAACCTTCACATCAGAATTTGAAGCTCTGGTCATTGGAGATGCTGAGACCAAGACTGTCAGTAACTTATAGGATGCTCTGGACTCAAATTGTAGGGTACCCAAGACTGAAATCTTTGAGACATCTTTCAAATTTAAAACAAAAATTGAAAGCATACCAAAAGTATAGTGGTTGTTGAAATGGGGAATATGGACCTCTTAATCTTATAATCTCCACAGTTGAGAAAAACGCAACAGAAAGTAATAGCATAGTGAATACTGAAGATTTACCGAGAGCCAAGCAGTGTTGGCAGCAGTTAAGGTATATTGTCTCATTTAATCTTCTAACTGAAACAATATGGTGACTATTGTCACCCCAGAAGTGAACAAAGACTATTGTAGAAAGATACTGAAAGTCAATGAATGGTGTAGAGCTAGAACTGTGTTTGAGTCTATTAATCCATGAATCACTATTTATGGACATAGTGAGCGACCCCCATAGGCCAGAGTTTACACTTTTAACAACCAGGTTTCCTTGTGATTCTGGTCTCTCTTGAGTGGTTGTCATACATCTTAATAATAAGAATGGTATATGCTGCATGTTATTCATCAAATAGGGCCACAGGAGCAGTTGAGGCTTTTCAAGCTGTGAAGAACCATCTCAAAGGAGGAAGTGATGTTATGGGATTTCTACACCTTGACCTTAAGAAGATGAAACATCTCCCTGGCTCATTGATGCTTTCAAGATGAAATTAGCTGGTCACCATGTTAGATCTTCTAGATCACTTAGAGTGTTTAAGTTTGGAAATTGCCCCCAGTAAGGCTACAGCTTATAGCTGAGTCAGTCATCATCCAGACAAGTAACTAAAAAACTTTTGGAATATGCCAGCTCCTAATGGAGGCCCAGATCATAGAGAATTGGGTGAGTAAATGCCTTCTATTCTGGAATTCTCAGACCCAGTGTATTAGCAAAGCAAACTGTTGTCTTGAGTACCAAGATGTGGTGATGATGGTTTCTTTACATCTATGCTGGTTACGCTACAACAGTAATGTACCTTTCTTTCATTTTTACCCCCTTTACTCTGTCAAGAAGCTCAAAGTTCAATTTAACCCTTAAACATAGAAACTATGTTTGCCTAAAGAGTTACTATAGCCACTCCCCTATATTACGATGTTGAACACACATTTCTATTTTTTCATCTTATTCAGTCTTTCCTTAAAAATTGCAGGATCTGACTAAATCAAATTGGTTCCCGGATTTACCCCAAGCAATAAAATCACGGTCTTATTACCTGCATCTTCTTTCATGTCAACGTCAGCTGCTCCCTCGTTGTTATCATCTGTTGGAAAAAGAAAGATAATGAGCAATGCAAGAAGTGCCAAAATGCTCCAGTTTGATTCATCAAATAACGAAAGGAAAGTAGAAAGCCGAGTACCACATCAGCCATTTATCCTGTATCATCACACTGGGTCACGCTGTGTTTGAGGAAAGTGCGCCCACACAGCAGAAGCTAACACCGAGGGTTACATTCCCCTTTATAACAACATGTACGCAGCATAATTTGTTTTATTTATACAACGTATGTGTGGCCACATTGGTCATCTCAATTCTTCAAAACTGTTTCCCATGAACTTTAAATACGATGTACTTCACACACTGGGAAAGTATATGCACTGAGCTCCCATGTCAGGACAGTGGACACACTGACATTTGCTTCCTGTACTCGGCTATGAGCAGTGCCGCTTGCTCTGCTGCTAGGCAGACTTTCCACCACCGGCTCCACAGACATTACTGGTGGTCCTGTTTCTGTCCAGTTCCCTTCATTTCCCATAATACTGCTTTCTAAGTGGACAAGGATATGTGATCTGCACTCCGATGACATGCTTGCCGAGTGATTCCTTCTCCTTCCCACATTGTATGTGTGTGTGCTTGCGCATGCACGCGTGTGTTGAGAAATGGTCTTTCTATGTATCCCAGGTTGTAATCACACCATGTCCTGCCTCAGTTGCATACCATCATACCTGGTTGTACTTACTCCTTTGAACTCAGAGCATGATATGTCTCTCCTTAAATGCTCCTCATACCTAATACCTTGGTCTGAATATTTGCCACCTGTTTATATGCTGAGAACTTTCCCCAAAGTCATGATCTTTGGAAGATGATTTCATCACCAAGATGGAGCCCTAATGATTAAGATCAGTTGCCTTAAGGAAGAGGCCAAGGAGAGACACAGTCTCTGTTGTGCCATTAAGGACATGGAGAGATGACACTCTCTCCATAAGGAACTGGACCCTAGCAGGCAATAGAACTACTGAAATCTAGATACTGGATTTCTAAGTTTTGAGAAAGAAATTTCTGTTTTTTAAGCCTTTCCATTTATGGTATTTTTTTTTTTTACAGCAGTCCAGACACTAAACACAAGTTAATGCCTCTGTGTTCGTTCCCCTCCAGTCAGTTTACTGTACTTTAATTCTAATTCTGTGCCTTATGTGTCTTAGGGGTTTCCCAGTTGATCCTCTCTTCTGCTTCCTATGACACATTTTCTTTTCATTAATAGTTCCTGCCAGTTCATCTTAATACAGTTCTGCTCTGGTCTACAGGCTCTGGTAACAGCCTCCTGTGCAAAGCACAGAGCACACTCCTTAACCCTACGACTCTTCCAACAGTTAAGGCCAAAGATATCTCATTCCAACCAGCTTCCTTACTTCCGTGGTGCTGGTGTTATCACCTAGACAGATGGCAACACTCAACTATTTTCTGTATCCTCAAGGTAGTATTGCTTTTACTTTATTTTATGTTGCTATCACAAAATACTTGGAGTGAGCACTTTACAGATACAAGAGGTTTATTTGGCTCACAGCTTTGGAGGATAAAGGTATAAGACAGTGTGCTCCCATCTGTTTAGGCCTCCGCTGAGAGCCACTGGCAGTGTCATCATCTGGCAGATGGCATCACAAAATAGGCACATGCACATGTTAAGAGGAAGCAAGATGGCAGGGAGAGGCACATCTCTCTTTCTCTCTTCTATGACTAAAGAATCTGAGCACTAACTCAGTCCTAGGAGGACCACACTACCTAGGGTTGTGCCCCGTGACCTAATTATCTCTAAATGGCATAGAATCTTGGTACCATTACCCTGAAGACCAATAATCACCTTTAGAAGATAAACCATAGTACTTCCCTTTAACTTCCTCTATCTACCTCATTCCTGCTGGTGAAACCATCCCCTTCTCCCTTCATCTATATCCTTCAAGACTTCAGTCCACATTTTCTGATGCAGGTGAGCAGAAGTTTTACTGAGAAAAACAAAAGGCAACTATATCAGAAGAGGTGTCTATGAAGGCTTTCCTGATCATCTATCTGATGCAAGTTTGAATTAACTATATTCTTTTTTGTTGACTTATTTTTGCTTTCTTATGAATATATACTTTGAAGACATCTGAACTCAGGTCTGCCTACTGACCCTTCAGCCCACCCATTTACTAGGCATGTGATCTTGAAGAAGTTGCCTATTCTTCCTGAGTTTCAGGTTCCTTGATCATGATGAGTGACAACAATGTCTACTACATGGACTTGCTCTAAGGACTGAGTTAAATAATGTCTATGCAAAGCACTAGAGCAGGTACTGAAACATCATCAAACACTAACATTGGTTATTATTCATATAAAATGTCACAATCTAGCACTGCCAGGATGAAGGCCATGTCTTGTGTTCCTTTGTTTTTCTTGGTAACCAGTACCATTCATCTTATGTAATAGAATAGATAAAAACCTTTCCACTAAATGGCCAAACTACAAACAAGCATGTAATCTTGGGAAAGTGACATAAAACAATATAACCCTCAGTTTCTTAATCTGAAGAACAGGGATGGGAAAGTAACCAACTTCTTACAACTGAAGGGTGTATGCACACTTGCGTGCACATGTGTATCTCCCACACAGCTACAGAATAAGCTTTTAAAGCTACTGATATTTGGTGACATGACACTGGTATTCTTTCTGATACTTTGGTAACCATTTAGTAAGCACTACCACACACAAGAAGCATAATCGTCCTTGAAGACTGAGGTCAAGGATCCCTTTCTTCACAGCAATCACAAAGGGAGTCACAATGAGCAGACTTCAAGTGGCAGACAGGACATGATAGGCTGCTGTAGGTGAGCAGAGGTTCTATCACTGACAGAAAAGAGGAAGTCCACGGGTGCTTTCCAGAGGAGCTGATGGGTCACCTAAAAGGTAAGCTGAGACTAACTTGAGGTAATGAGAGCCAGCAGTGTGTTACCAGGAAAGGTTGTCTCCTGACTATACACTCTATGCTCGCTGACACTTGGCATCAGCCATGCGGGTCCTTTGCCTAAGAGTTTTCTCTAGTTCTGGTTTCTAGAGCCCAGTTGGCTAAAGAAATTCTGTACAATGAACCTGTTCCAGGAGCCAGCCTACCACACGTGATGGACAGCTCGCTGTTTCTCAAGCTCCTCCCACAGATACCGCATGCTTGTTCCTTGTTCCACATGATTTCCATAAGTCTCCTTCCCTCATTGAACTTGAGGTGCTTGAGTTTGAACAGAGTTAGAGTGTAAGTAGTTTGGAACTTAACCCCTTGACCTCCTTTACCACTCCCCCTTCCTCTCTCTTCTGCTGGCATTTCCCCAGATTGCCTTTCAACAAAGGATCTCTACACTTGAACCCTTGCTTCAGGACAGGCTTTGGGTTCTGTTTATTTATTCTATTTTTAGCACCCTCAAACAGATGGGAAACTCTTTGAAATACATGTTCAGGAGCAGTTAAAATACCTTCAATGACATCAAATTTGTTCTGAATGGCTGAAGGGTAAAACATGATAACCGGAAGCTTCAGTGGTCCTTTCTGGCTAAAGGTCCTCCCCTACCAGGAGTAAAGGTTCATTTCACAGGCCATGTGACTGGGCCACAAGGTTCCACAGTATCTTTCTGTGTGTGTCTTTGAGGGTATTTCTAGAGACTGCCACTTGAACAGGAAGATTGAGAAAAAGTAGACAGCCCTCCTTTATGTGGGTGAGCATTGGGAAACCATAGGAAAGTCCTCAGAAGACAGAAAGGCTGAACTTCGTCTGGACAAGGGCCGTGCTTCATAGCCCATTACCCACAGTGATGGCTTAATGGTTCTTGTGCTTGGACACTCTTTCCTCTCCACCTTTGAGTTCAAAGTGAAATATTGCTTCTTACTTTGTTTTAAGCCTACAAGTACTCAGACTAGGGCAGTGGTTCCCAAACTTCCTAATGCTACGACAATTTAATACAGTTTTCAGGTTGTGCTGAACCCCAACCATAAAATTATTTCATTGCTACTTCATAACTCTAATTTTGCTACTGTTATGAATCACACTGTAAATATCTTATATGCAGGATATCTGATATGCGACCTCCAAAGGACTCGCGACCCATAGGTTGAGAACTGCTAGGCTGGAAACACACCACTGGCCTTCTGGATCTCAGGTCATTGGCCTCAGAGAGGAACTGTGCTACCTGTCCTTTGGCGTTACCTTCCTGTCTGAAGAGCTGGAGACTTGTAAGCCTCCATACTTTTATGAGGCATGCCTTATAATAACCATTTTCCATATGTTATACACAGGTGTGTTCCTCTGATTCTCTAGAGAAACACTAAGAAAAAGATTTTTGAAAGAAAGAAAATTTGCACCAACATGCCAGCATTTGAAGTTTCTGACAAAAACTAGAACAGCCAAACAACTTTAGGCTGAAGTACTGAAGTGCCAAGTACTGAAGAAGAACTTTTTTCTTTGTCAGAGGAACTCACCATGATATCAGAAGATACATGCCTTGACATTTTGATATTTGAATTCAAATAAAAGGGAAGTGCTTTTAGTCTGGAAAGCATATGCTGCAGTTGATATTAATTAAATTCACCTTGCTTGCACATTCCATACAATGTGCTTGCTTGAGCCATATTTATGAACTATTTCTGCTGGGGCTTCTTTTCCTAACAATACCAGGAACCAGAATGACATTATATAAAAATAGATGATACCCTCTGGAGTTGAGAGTCATGACACTGAAAATTTGGACATAGTTTGGGGACTGATGGAGCGTGGGCACAGAGCTCCTGTGCTTTTATGCAGTTTATCAAGGTTCATACGTCTTTGTTAGAGGACAAAAATGCAATAAAAGGTCTCTAGCAAAGAGATACAAATGCCATTTCAAAACAGAGAGCGATCCATCAGTTGGTATTGTTCTGTGTATGCAGAAATGCCAATCCCAGAAAAATCCCCTTCTTTTCCTAGGTGTAGTGCACATGAAGGCTAAAACTCTATCTCCTCTTTGATGTTAATTTCATGAAGGACGT